TGTTGTAGAGAAAAAAGGAAAGGGAAACAGACGGGGTGCGAGAGGCAAACCTGCTACAGCCCAAGTCGCAGCCATCGGCCGGAGGATGGCTGAGCTACAATATCCTGACCAAGCGTTCCAACGCATGGCTAAGAGATAACGACGCCAGCCATCCAGAACAAGGGTGTGGTGGCTCGCGGAGCGAGTGGAGCCACCTGCGCTCGTGTCGGGGGCGGCGAGAAGGCTGGGTCGATCGATCGAATTCGCGACAGCCATCCTCCGGCCATCCGGCCAAATGGCTGCGACGGCTGTATGGCAGCCATCTTGCGGCCGGGCGGATGGCTGGGACACAGCCATCGCAGCCATCGGCCGGAGGATGGCTGCGCTGGCTGGAACGCAGCCAAAATGGCGCGTGCTTGCTGGGAGGCGGAGTGGCCAAGGATGCTTTAATTGCAACCATGTGAATTACCATCCGGGAGGAGGGTTAGGGTTAGATCTAGTTGTACCAGCCTTCTTAGCACATGGATGGCTGCGAAACAGGGAGTACTCGAGTAGAGCTCTACTTGGAGCACTTGGAGCAGCCCATTCGACTTGAGCCACCTTTGCGCAACCTTTCGGCCCGCTGTGCTGAGCTCCCGATGGAAGTCACCCGCCTGCTTTTGCTGGCCGGGCTCGCGGCAGACACTCGGGCCATCGCTGGCTACGCCCCTGGCTCGGATGACGATGCTGTCGCCTCGACTGACGCCCGGCGCCAGATGTACGACGGAAACCGTGGCGGCAGCAGAACGGGCGGCGGCGGCCCGCAGGCGACAGAGGCGGCGCTCTTGGCCACGCCCCGCGCCCGGCGCTCGCTCGCGAGCACCGGAACGTACGGCACGATCTTTGGGCGCAAGATCGGGCAGACGATGCAGATCTTTGCGTACTCGAGCGACACGGCAACGAACGGTGCGTCCGGGGTGCTCATCGACGCGGACACCGCCCTCTCCTGGCAAACCGTCGAGGTCGCCTTTGCCAACGGCGTGATCGAGAGCGTCGCCGCCGAGAACGGCCTCACTGCGACTATCAAAACGAACAACAAGGAAGTCGGCGTCGGCGACTTGGGTGGCTCGGGCAAGTCCCACCCCGCCGGCCTCGTCATGACTGTCACCTTCACCTCCGGCACGGACATGGACAGCGTGTACATCGACTTCTCGTCGAGCACAACCGTGATCTGCATCGTGACCTGCGTCCCGTTTACCTCGACGCCCCGTGTGGCGACCGTCGTGCAGGACAAGAGCAACAACCTCTACCTGTTCGCCTCGCCCAACACGCCCACAGACGGCGTGGCTTCGACCATCGAGATTGCGGTCACGGGCGCCTTTAACGAGAGCGACATCACCTCCCTTCTCACTGGCATGACGCCGCAGGTTGGCAGCGGCTTCTTCGGGGTGGGCTTCCTCGACGGCACGTCGAAGCTCCCCGACGGCGAGGCGATCGCTGTCGTGTCTCGGCCCCTCCTGGACATCGACGTGGACTCTGTGACGACCGCGGTCGTCGCCTCTCCCGCCGCCCCGGCATTCGACGCGCTCCTCTTTGTCATCGGGGCGGCCTTCGACCCGTGCGTCTTGTGCAACGCAATCCTGAGAAAGACTGGCAACAGGCCCCGTTTGTACGGAAACCCGTGCCTGCCTGGCGACCCGACGAAAACCTACAAGGACGGCCCCAAATCCACCGCCGACCTCGTCCAGGAGACTACCGAGTGCTACACGAACATCGCGGACGATCCTACGAATCCGGTGCGCCGCTGCGTCTATGACTACATGGAGGGGTCAGGATACGATTACGAAGGGAAACTGAACGAAAAGCCCCTTGACCGAATTGAGACGTGCATGACGCTCCCGTCGCCGTCCCCGCCTGCACTT